CGCAAAAAAAATTTGAAGATGAACTCCAATAATTTTTTCTGTATGTTGGTTGAAATCTACACGTAAAAATAAATAAAAATGTATAACGCCAGTCCACTAGATTAAGAATTGTGAGAACTAGCAAGGGTTAAAGTATTTTCGAGCTTGCAAAAAGAGATTTTAGTTTTTCGATGGAAACACCATGACGAAGATCAATTCTAATCACTTCCGCTATATTTTTCCTGTTATCTACACGAAAAAATACACAAGTATGCCAATTTACAGCTCTTTAGGTAAAAAACTGTGAGCGCTAGGGGGGAGGTACATGCCTATGTTTTGCGAAAAACGGCCAAAATTGTAAAATGAACAAATATTTTAAAAATAAAATGAAACAAATGAACAATATTTTATTTTATTAGGGGAGATTTTGTATGTGAAACTGGCCCCCCACTTTAAAAAAAATAACTTTTTTTTAGAGTTCTGACTTCCTCCACAATATTTCTATAGAGTTCCTGATAGTTTTTAGAAATAGTTCCGGCGATTAAATGCGGTAAAAACAGTTTTTTATAATGGAGGATTAACCTCACGCAGCCCCCCACTATTTAAAAAATGAATAATTAGAGTTCTGAGTAGTTTAAAGAGGGTTCTAGAGTTTCCTTATAGTTTATTTAAATAGTTCTGATAATCTAAAATAAAAATTTTAAACACGATAATTTTTCGAAAATTAAAATATGTTACGTTACCACCCAGGTGCGAAAAGTTGGTCGGGCCATGGTCGCGCCGACCAAGTGGATAGTCGTGCCGACCTTGGCAACCAAAGGTCGGCCGAACTAGCGAATTGTAACACCCGCCGTCCAGTGGCTGACATGGTCGTGCCGACTATGGTTGCCAAAGTCGGGCCGACCAGGGGTGCCAAAGCTTTGCCGACCATGAGAAAGAAGGTCGGATTCACTTTGGCAACCTTGGTCGTGCCGACCTTGGCAGCCAAAAGTCGGCCGACCGATTGCAAAAAATTATTAATTATTTATTATTATTATTAATTATTATTATTCATTATTTATTTGTTTATTGTATACATCTTAACACTAAACGCAATCTTACACATAAATACAAATTAAAATTTCTAACGCTCGCAGGAATCGAACTCGCAACCTAACGCACCGAAGTCTAACACGCTAACCATTACGCTACGCTTACATGAAAGCCTAAGAACAAAAATGATTTTATAAGCTGCAACTTCAAACTGACCATCGGCCCGACTCTGGCCAAAGTCGGCCCGACCAAGTGAAATTAGGTTTTTTGCACTCTGGCTGCCATAGTTTTACCGACCGTCGGCCCGACTCAGGCCAGAGTCGGCCCGACCAAGTGAAATTAGGTTTTTTGCACTCTGGCTGCCATAGTTTTACCGACCGTCGGCCCGACTCAGGCCAGAGTCGGCCCGACCAATTGAAATTAGGTTTTTTAAACTCTGGCTGCCATAGTTTAACCCACCATCGGCCCGACTCAGGCCAAAGTCGGCCCGACCAACAGAAATTAACCTTTTTAAACTCTGGCTGCCATAGTTTTACCGACCATCGGCCCGACTCAGGCCAAAGTCGGCCCGACCAACTAAAATTAGGTTCTCTAAACTCTGGCTGCCATAGTTTTACCGACCGTCGGCCCGACTCAGGCCAAAGTCGGCCCGACCAACAGAAATTAACCTTTTTAAACTCTGGCTGCCATACTTTAGCCGACCATCGGCCCGACTGAGGCCAGAGTCGGCCCGACCAACTAAAATTAGGTTCTCTAAACTCTGGCTGCCATAGTTTTACCGACCATCGGCCCGACTCAGGCCAAAGTCGGCCCGACCAACTAAAATTAGGTTCTCTAAACTTTGGCACCCATAGTCGGCCCAAACTTGGGTGGAAACAGTAACCAAAGTCGGCCCGACTTTGGCTGCCGACCTATTGGCAGCCATAGATGGGCCGACCTGCGCCCGACCTTCCAACTCTGGCGGCCGACCAAAATTCGCACCTGGGTAAAAGCAACTAAAGTATAACACTTTGAAATTTCAAAAAAAAATTTCTATTGTTATATTAAGAGTTTTAGGAGTCATAATCGGAATTCTGTATAAATTCTGAATAGATTTCTTGTATCGTTGCTATCAGTTCTACAAGTAGTTCAAATGATATCTTGCTCTTAAATCAAAATCCAAAAACTTACAGACCTTCGAAATTTTTTAAATTATCAATCAATAATAATGAAGAGTTCTGGAAGATCTGATTAGAGTTCTTGCACCGTTGCAAAGAGTTCTAGAAGTAATTCAAATCGCATTTTGTTCTAAACGTAAAACCACAAAAGTTACAGAATTTTGAAATATGCTCTCTAAATCTGAATTAGTGCGGATTCGTTTACCAATTTGAATTAGTAACATTTTTTACTAATTTTTAGTAGTTTTTCACTAATTGCTAGTAGAAAATTACTAATTTAATTAGTAGAACGTATTTTTTACTATTTCAAATTAGTAAATTTTCTAAAAATTAGTCAAAACAGTTAATAATTCAATTGGTAAACGAATCCGCACTGTTTCATTAGTAGAAAACTACTAATTCAGATTTAGAGAGTGCAAAAAATGTGAAAATTTAAAAATTCAGTTCTAAGAGTTCTGATTAGAGCCCTGGCATCTTGTTTTTATTGGTAGAAAATTTTAGAAATCTTTATTCTCTTTCAGAATATTGGATTAGAACTCTTTTCTGCAAAAATCATAGTGCTATGCAAAGTTAACACTCTGTTTTATCAATGTCGCTTTTTTTGTTGTTAATTATCAGAACTGTTTAAATAATCGTTATAGAACTCTAGAACTATTTCAAGTGTCCAAAACTCTTGTAAAAATGTTGATTTTTTGAAAAAGTAGTAAAAAAAACTTTATATAAGAAGTATACAGTTGTAAATAAGAAACTGATAAAACATAATAGAACCAAATTCTTTCAATTATATTCATTTAATCTTTTTTAAAAAATTCGAAGGCTTGAAGTTCATTAGCTCGTAAGTTTAGAAAAATAATTTGTTAACACTTTTAAAAGAACTCTAATTGGGCATTACAGAACTCTCGTTTGAACTCATGGAATTCTCAATATGTAACTGTCCACGAGAAAACAAGGCTTAGCTCCCAAACGTGAATTTCACAGGGCGAGCGATTGAAGTACTACGATTGAAGTTAACTACGCTTGACATACCCATCTTTAAAACGATATATTGTCGAAAGTAATTGATATTTTTAACTTCTGACTTTTGCATTTGAAAAAGCAACATAAAATCTGTCGATTACCATAAAAAAATCAAAATTGATTTTTTGGACCTAAGCCTTGTTTTCTCGTGGACAGTCACATATATATAAAAATAGTTATTTATGATACAAGTGCGTAAAATCGTTGATTATACGAGTGTGACGTTTGCAGCTCGAGCCGAAGGCGAGTGCTGCAAGTCACACAAGTATAATCTGATTTACGCACGAGTGTCATACAAAATTTTTTGCAACACTAAAACAACTAAACTTGCAGCAATATTGCCAATATTACTGAAAGTTTAGGTGTAGTGGGGGAACTGTTAAATGAAGTTTTCTAGAAGCTAAAATTAAAATGTGATTGTAAATTGTTGTTTAAAAGCTTTAATTAATGGTTTCTCATCAAACAGTCACAAGAATGCGTAAAGTAATCATTTTACGCACTGAAAATCACTTTACACACTGGAATTCATTTTACACACTGCTAGCGGTGTGTAAAGTAACACTTTACACACCGCTATAAAATGAAGTACTTTACACACAGTTTTCTGTGTTTTCTGTTTTAATTCTACTAATTACCGATCAATGTTGCAAGTATTGTTTTAATATTTGTGTGCGGAACCCGCCATTGCAGTGCGAGTACAACTCGCACTTGTCCAATTTTTTTTTATTTAAACATTAAAGAACTTTTTATTCTATATAATTTTTTAAAAATACGTAATTTTCTGAAAAAATACATGTCGCATTCATCAAAATCGGTCAAAAATTGACCGAGTTATAAAAGAATAAAATGAATTCAATGCAAAATTAAAAGTGGTTAAAGTCCTACAATTTTAGATATTTTGAAAATTTCTTTTACAATTATTTAGCTCTTATATTAAACTATTATTTTCCCAAGTTTCGTCAAAATTTAAAAATCATTTGCATATCGTGCTATTTCTGACGTAGAGTTACCATTTTATTAATAATCAGAAAGAGGCTGTTATGTACAGATTCATTTGCCTTCTGCAGTTTAACTGCGATGTGCCTATGTCATTAATTTCATATTAATGATATACCACGGGAGTATGAACTGACCAAGTATCATGCACCTGAGGGGTGATGACCGTACTAATTGCCTCAGTTACAACAAAACATTCATTTTCTCCAATGCTTTCTTGACTTTTCATCTTATTTTAAACAATGAAAGTTATAGGCAGTTTTATGCGACAACTCGATCGCACTGCCAGTCCTGAGTTCGGCTCGGGATACGGGCGTGAATCCATTCCTGGTGTCGGAGGGGGATTTCAATTCCCCTCACGGGAAGGAATCGATGATCGTCCGCCGAGGAGTATTATTATTAATTGACGAGAAAAATTTTTGTCCCGTGTGTGTAAATAAAAATACCAAAAAGTAATAAATATTTAATTGAATCAAATAATGTTTTCTTAATTAAATAAATATATAGTATTTAATTAACTCTCTAAATTTGAATTAGTAAAAATGTTTACTAATTCGAATTAGTGACTGACTTTTTGCTTTTGAATTAGTAAATTTTACTAATAAATTAGTAGAAAATACTATTTATTAGTAAAATTTACTAATTCAAAAGCAAAAAGTCAGTCACTAATTCGAATTAGTAAACATTTTTACTAATTCAAATTTAGAGAGAAATGCAGTATTTTCTTCAAGTTTTGTACCATTACTGTTATTAATATAATTAAATGTAATTATTCTTTTTTCTATTACAAAACCTAATTAATAATACTGTTTGTTCCAGACTGAAGAGTGCCGGCAGCAGAGGTGAGAACATAATCTAATTACAGTATAAACTAAATATAATAATTGCAACCTAAGAAAAATTAACCTAAACATACACTATAACATTAATGTAAATTAATACAAATTAGAAGTTTATAAAAATTATAATAATTGAAAAAGAAATCTATTGGAAAACAATCATATCCAAGTCTTAGCCAAAAAGAAAAAAAATGACGTTCGCCCTTTCATCTATTCCGCAGATGATTTATTCAACCGCCAAAAAATTAAAATTCACAAAACTACAGCTGCTGCAAAATATATAATATAGATCAGAAATTGACCAGAGGGCTGTGGACTGACATTGGTTGGGCAATAAGTATATTATAGTTGGCCCCTCCAATCTCTCACGTCGAATTAACATTTCTGAAGCGAGAGCGCTGCCCCACTGGGCCTTCTCAACAAAAAAGCAGCGCGAGTGTGCACTGCTATCGAAATGATGCCCAATTATCTCGAGTTCCCTACCGAGTTGCCAGCAATTCAAATATTCCTCTATTCACTCATTCTCTTCTAATTTTTTCGCACTATTTTACCCCATCACTGCTTTGTCAAAATTTGATAAATACTTTTTTATACTTTTCAGTATAATATTAATTTTTGTACTACTAATTTATACTATATCTGTCTCTCTCATATTAAGTAACATTTATTTATACTATTTATTTTTTTTACTACTAACACTTTTACTACATTAAAAAAAATAGGAGCGTGAAAATTAAAACACAATCGGACATTATGGAGGTTTAAAAAGAAGATTTGTTTTAAAACTTATTCCTTTTGTTTCTCAAGCGAAATCACTTTCACGCAAAATAGCGACATTCAAAGACGAAAAAGAAAGAGAAGAAAAAAAGTTGACGAGTTATTATCAGAAATTGTCCAATCACACGGAAGTTTGCTTCCTTTAAAGTGGAGCTACTCGATACCTTTGGAAATAAAATGGCTGATGGTAATAAAACGAAGGAAGCCAATAAGCATGAGAATTCACGACAGAGTTCCTCTGAAATGTTTCTGCCAATAGCGATATACCTTAATACCAAGAGTAATTTCTACTGAAGGAGCAATTCTGATGTATAAATAAAGTTATATTTCCCTTTTTTCATTCTTTTCCATCACTCACTTCTTTCCTGTCGCAGTTTTTTTCCATTTCCATAATTCATTTTAATTATTTTTTTCTACTTTCGCAATAAACATTCTTCGACAAGAAAATTTCTACTTAAACTTTCCTATTACAATTTCTTCCAAATTTGATTCGTTTTTTGTCTCAATTTTATATCCTTAGAAAATCTGTGCTATTATTTCAATTTCTACTGAACATAACGATTCTAATACCTAAACTTTACTATCATCATAATTTCCTCCGAACTTAACGATTCATCTCAAACTTTCCCATATTAATAATTTTCAAAAAAAGCAGAAAAAAATACTAAATTTTCCCTGATAAAAAAGAATCCATTGTGGTTTTAATTTATTTCGAGAGAGAGAGAGAGAGAGAGAGAGAGAGAGAGAAAAGGCCAACATCGAAAATAAATGACGTACATGCTACTATAGTTGTCAGTTAGAACATGTTTCAAGCAAATAGAAAGTTCAATTTCACATTTGCAACCTAATAAAGATTAATGTAATTATCAAAAAGATAAATTAGATGATATTTTGTTCGATTTCTGACTGCACGATAGACAAGACTTCATTTGATAAAGCAAATCACACACTCTCTCTCTCTCTCTCTTCTCTATCCCTTACCTCAAACGTGACACACACGTTTCGATTCGAGCAACACGTTTTAACAAGAGATGCTTCACCATAAAGTCAATACACGTTCCTTAGTATTCGATCCGGATGTTACAATCACGACCTTTCGCTAACAACCAAAATAAAAAGAAAAAAAACCACAAACAAAACAAATAAATAAGAACTCGTCACAAAAATACGAAACTTATCATCAAGGAGGAAGAAGAATAAACAAAAATGATGAGAAAGAAACCGTTTTGTTCAAAACAATTGATTCTAACAATCTTTATCAAACAACAAATTTTTAGCAACCTTTGTCAAAAACAGTCAACTATAATAGGGTTGCCACAAAACATCGATTTTAAAATTCCATGATTTTTCCAGGTTTTCCAGACCATTTTTTAAAAAATTCCAGACCCAAAAATAAAATTGTTTTGATATGTTTTTAACTAATTACGACAAAAAATATAAAATCCTTCAAGTAAATTGTTAATAAAATTAATAACAAAAATTTTAATTAAAATTTGCAAGATTATTTGTGATACGCTCCAAAGAAAGGCGCACCTACCTTAGGAGCAAATCTCTTTAAAGTTATGTTTGTGTTATTCTTACTTCAATTAAAGGATTTTGTTTAATTTTTGAATCCAAACTTAATTTTTATTAATTACTTTAGTTGTAATGAAGATTATAATATTAGTAGGGGAGACCGGGACGTAATGAATCACTTCAATTTATTCAAAAGTTATAAGTCAGAGTAATTTCGGTTTCCGATCAAAATAATGTACTTGGTATACTGTAAGTTTGTACCAAGTTTCATTGTTATTCATTCATTATTGTTGAAAATATGGTAGAAAAAGTGATTTTGACGCTTGAAAGTAAATTTTTAAAGGCTTTGTTTTTTTGTTATATCTTTTTCAAAATTACTTGTAAAACATTTTTGTATATCAGGTTTTGAGCTTTAAACATTTGTTCTTAAAGAACAATTAACAATTTTTGTTTAATACTTACGGTATTGATAAAAAATAACAAAATTTTCAACAAACACATCCGGGGCGTATTGGCTCGCTTATTCTATTAAGAAAAACCTATTATATTTAAAATATTAATAAAATAATCCTGTCAAGTTTAATTTCTTGTAATTGAGGGCGTGGAACGGATAACTTCCTGTAACGCATGGTCGAAAGGGACTATACCATAGTCAGACAATAGTGAACGCCTCTAGGCCTCTCACTGATGTCTGACTGGTATAGTCCCTTTCGACCATGCGTTACAGGCAGTTATGCGTTCCACGACCTCAATTTATATATTAATAAGTACCAATGATAACCCTTTATTAAAAAAATAACTGGAGAATAGATTTTTTAAGTAAATAGATTTTGCATTTCGCTACAACTTTTTAAAATTGGAAAATTTCATGAAAATGTTTAAAGTTTAAATTAAGTATGTTCCATTTTCAATATTCTTTGTTATAAACTTACAATAGAAACCAAAATTGTCAATACTGTAATAACATTTCATGATCTACATTATAATTTCATTCCTGATTCAATACGCCCCGGGGAGTGATCCATTACACCCCGGCCCGAGGCGTAATGGATCACCTTGCATTTTTCCAAAAACATTGTTTTAGAAAAAAAAGTATGAGCACTTTTTAGGGCGTACTTTTTTTTAATTGAAAGCTGTGATGTTAGGCTAAGTTTTTCATATCATGAAATTTTTATTAAAGCAAGAATGACAAAGTTAAGCAACAAAAAGTAAAAAGTGATCAATTACGCCCCGGTCTCTCCTAGTTTATATCGAGAGTTAATCCCCTTTGTGTAATTTCATTCCAAAAAATACAAACATAAACTATAATTTTTTGCTTCGGAGCGCATTACACTTACTTTAATGTAAAGGAAAAAATATAGAGAAAAATTATAGGAATTTAAAAATTTAGTTTTGTTCAGAATATTTTACAATTTATTATTTATTTTAATATTAAAAGTCATTTAAAAAATTGTAAGAGGATCCAAGGCGAAAAAATCAGTGATTTTTTATTTTTTTGTCGTGCATTTTCCAAATATCCCGAAATTTCAACTATAAATTATTATTTCCTTGCTTTGGAAGCACTTTTTTTCTTTTGCTAATTGTTTATTTCTTAATACCCCGACATGGATACTCTTGCAATTTTTTAAAGGGCTTTTAACATTAAAAAACAATTATCAAAAAAAAAAATTTCATTGAATAAAAGTTGGTAATTTCAGTTTAATAACATTTTTGGGTTTCTAAAATGCATTTAAATGTATTAATTTTAAAATTATGCAAAGGAAGATCCCCAGGTGCGAATTTAGGTTGTCCGCCAGAGTTTGAAGGTTGGCCCAAGGTTGGCCTAACTTTGGCAAGCGAAGTTTTGGTTGCCAGAGTTTGCCCAACTTTGGCAAGTACTAGTGCCCACGGTTGGCCCGACGGTTGGCAAAACTTTGTGAAACGCAGTTTAATTGACTTACATTATTTTGGTTGGCCGAACTCTGGGCCACGGTTGGCAAAACTTTGTCAAATGCAGTTTAAATGACTTAAACTTTCTTGGTCGGCCGAACTCTGGGCCACGGTTGGCCCGACTGTTGCAGCTTTAATATACCTTTTGCGTTATGCACTCCCATGTGAGCGTAGCGTAGTGGTCAGTGTATAAGTCTTCGGTGCGTTAGGTTAGGGGTTCGATCCCAGCGAGCGTTAGATATTTTCGAAAATGTATGTATGAGATTGTGTTTAATTATAATAGGTAAAGGTTATATCTGATGTTCCCGCTAATAATAACCTGTTAATTGTTTAAATAATTTAGCTTTTTAATAATTTTTTACCTTTGGCTGTTGAAGTTGGCCAAACTTTGAAAATTGTGGTTGGCCCAACTTACGCATCTAAAGTTGTGCCAACTTTGGCGTCAGTCTTTGGACCAACCATTGAAGTGTATAGTTGGCACAACATATGCATTTTAAGTTGGGCCAACCATCGTCGCCATTAGACGGCGAACCGTTATCATCTGTATGGTTGGCCCAACCTCTGGCACGAGAAGTTGGACCGACTTTGTAAAAGTTGGCCCAACTATGGGCCGACCAAAAAATCGCACCTTGGTATTGATCAAAAGAAACTAAAATTTAGAAACCCCATATTGATTCCCGTGTAGAAATTGAAAATAGGGCTTTAATAAGGCCCTGAATAGATGCCCTTTCGAAAGTGAGGCGCAAACTAGGAAAATTCGTCAGGACCTGTCTAATTTCGTC